TATTTACATATTGATCATTGCAGACCTCATTTACATATTGATGAACAGTGGTCTTATTTACATATTGATGGCTGCAGGCCTTATTTACGTATTTTAGGTGATAATGGAATATTAAATGGAATGACTTCAAAGCAAAACAAACAAGTGTAGAAGTGAGCAAAGCTCACATACCCCCGCTTCCAACCTTGGGACATGGAAATGACTGATATTGATATATATAATGTGACAAGGATCAGCAGCTCACAAGACTTTCTCTTTGACTCTACTAAACTTTATATACATGTTAGATAATAGTTTTGGCATGTACTGATTATGGTAATAATTTATGGAAACTAGATTTTTTTGTGTTTTCCGTGGAAACCTGACATACAGTTGAACTTGACTGTCTCATGTTGCACACAATGGACGTAGATGAAGATTGCTATTTTTTAGCACATGGCATATCTGTGGGTCATGATTAACTTGTGTATTAAGTTTGGTGAACCTAGCACGTATAGTTTCGATGATATGCCGTGGTCAGGTAACCATCAAATACATTTTGCATGTACCTAGCATGAACCTAGCATGTAAACTTTAAGAGATATGCTCCGGACAAAATAATCGAACACATTTAGCACTAAGTCATGTTTCCATGGAAACAGCAAAAAATACAATTCATATCTGGATCTAAACCCCAAAAGGCACATCTAGGGATCATGCTTGATATTTGTACCAAGTTTGATGAAGCTAGCATGTATAGTTTGGAAGATCTAAATTCTGAAAAACTTTAAAATAGCAAAAGACAAGATGACATCCTCATAGTCACAGCCTAAGTAGTGTTTCCATGGAAACAGCAAAAACTAAATTCTGAAAAAAATGTGTACTTTAAAATAGCAAAAGGCACATCAATGGGTAATAATTAACACGTGTGTGAAGTTTGGTGAACCTAGCAAGTAAACTTTAAGAGATATGCTCGGACAAAATAATCGAACACATTTGGCACTAAGTCGTGTTTCCATGGAAACAGCAAAAAATACAATTCATATCTGGATCTACCCCCCAAAAGGCACATCTAGGGATCATGCTTGAAATGTGTACCAAGTTTGATGAAGCTAGCATGTATAGTTTGGAAGATCTGCGCCGGACAAGATGACATCCTCATAGTCACAGCCTAAGTCGTGTTTCCATGGAAACAGCAAAAAAACTAAATTCTGAAAAAACTTTAAAATAGCAAAAGGCACATCAATGGGTAATGATTAACATGTGTGTGAAGTTTGGTGAACCTAGCAAGTAAACTTTAAGAGATATGCTCCGGACAAAGTTTCGGGACGGACGGACAGAATGAACGCTATATACCCCAGTTACTTCGTAGCGGGGGTATAAATATGAGTAAGAAAAAGGTCAGCCAACCCAGTGATTAACCACATGAGTTACTTTCAAGTAACATTGAATCACCGACTACGTAGGCTGAGTCTGTAAGACCACTAGTTTTACTTTCACTATGTCCAGGTTTCAACAATGCATGCATGGTCATGCTCTAAGACATTTCAACAGAAGCACTGTCAGTGTCACATAACCTGCAGTAACTGGTGTTGGGAATATATAAATAGACTGGGAAATTTTATCCCAGATGGTAAGAGTGGTAAATACATGAGAGGTTTTATACAACATTATCACTATTGCTACAGTATCAAGGCCTACCTAAATAATCTGGGACAGTAGAGCCAGTCGGGCCAGTCACACACTGGCAGCAGCTTCCTACGTCTGTGTCATATCATACAACAAGCATTGTAAGAAGGGCTGAGTTTCTAGTACAAAAAGGGAATCCCCAATGGCAATGTGAGAATTCATACTATAAAATAACATGAGAGTAGGGCTGGGACGGGTAACACGGGTATCTGGGACGGGTGGGTAATGAGTTGGACCCGGGTACCCGTCATGTTACCCGGACCGGCTTTGATCATGTGACTAATAAATGAAGACTTAATTGAATGTGTTTATAAATATTATATATATCCAGTGCTCCAGATAAGGGCCGTATCGGCGTATGTACGGATAAAAAATATGCACGATACAGTAGGAAATAATTTAGAAAACGTAGCAGTTATGCACCACAGCAATGGTGTACGGTCTTAGAATCATTTACAGACGTTTTTATCTCAAAAATTATTGTTTTATTGTCTATTGACCTGTTTACACGAGAGTAGCAATGTTGTGGTGCATATATGAAACGAAACACAAGATTACTGATACTCCATTAAATTCCATTCAGTACTCTAAATGTACTCCCCTGATATCTACAACGAGATTGTTGTCTTATGTTTGAAATTGTGGACTAAACTAGCACAAGGTATCAACTGTCGGCAACTAAGCATGTCACGTGTAACATAGGTTGCAAGTACGCCAAGTAGTAAATTGTTTACATGTAAAAGACTCAAGAACGCAGACGTCCACCTCAAATAGAGTCTGAACAAACCGCGAAGGTAGACCTATTGTTACTGATTAGGTAACTGGGTTTCAAAACATTTAACAAACTGTACAAAGCATTACTTTGGCCAGTTATAACTTAAGGCATTTTAATCTATGGAACAGAGGACTATTCATCGATCAATGCAATGCAAAACCGTGCTATGAGATTTTACCTAGGTCTAGGCTATTGAAGTCGAGGCTAATGAAGAAGTTATTGGTGACATGGGATGGAACCCCGCAACTACATGTACTACAAGATATATTCTTGATTCGTTACTGGAGGAAAATGATCAATATGGACCAAGAACGTATAGAGCCCTATGTTTCTAATTGGGAAAATAATCAATCACGGAACAGACACAAGCCTTGGCACTTAGCTTTTTACCGGCGAATGAACACATTGGGAATCACCAAAAAAGCTCTTTTAAACAACATCATCATCACTGTAAGAGACTGTGAAGAACTATTGTTACAAGCTTTTATAAAAATAAGGGAAAATTCATCACACCTGGAGAACTCAAAATGGGGATCGAGGAAAAACAAACTTGCGTGTTTTTGCAAGGATTAAAGATTTTATAATTATTGTTTTTGAGATGACCCCCGGCTCGAAATGCTTCACAGTACAATTTTCACTGCCCAAATCAAGTTGAATCGGAAGAGCATTTTATTGAAATCTCCACTTCACAATGATTTAAGAGATGACATTTTAACATCAGCAAAGTTTTTCATGCCACGTTTTACCCTCTTATCGGAACCTGAGAAGTCATCACTCCTTTTAAGCTCTCAAGATCTTATAAACATACGTGCCAAAAACTGCTTTAAAACCCTTTTAAGATGCCGACAAATGTTACATAAATAAGTTTAACATTTCATGTTAATAGTTTTGTACATATTTTTTTAAGTTCAATTGTCATTTTATCTACTCATATGCTTCCAATATATTGCTCTGTGATACTTAATTATCAACCGTGTCTCATAACTTCATTTATAATATTTACTGAATATTTTATATGTATTAGAATTTATTTTAATGTACATATGGTGAGACGTAAATAAGCAATCTGTCTGTCTGTCTGACTATTGTGATTGGATTATGAGTCCACGGGTGAGGGAGAGAGGTATTTACCTTGTTTACATTACATTGTTTACTTGTTAGTTTAATGGTATACACTTTTTATTTTTACCTTCAATTGTATTTTGCCTGTAGATTGGAACGGCATTTGTTTGTAGCTCCTGGTCTGTTACGGAGGGATGTTTGTTGTTCAGATGTTTCCCCATCGATTACCTACTCCCTCCTTTCTGACTTAGCTGCACTGTGCACAAAGTGCATTTTGTCTTTGTACCTGATGCGAGTATTTAAAATATTTCCAGATGCCACTCTTAATCTCGGCCATAACTGATTTTATTGAAGGGGAATAACTCGTAATTAGTGTTATAATGGGTACCCGGGTCGGGTCGGGTAATAGGGGGTCGGGTATCCGCGTAGGAAATTTTGACCCACCCCAGCCCTACATGAGAATTCAACATTGCTTTAGACAGTATTTCACTTACATCGTGGCATTAAAACCTGAAGTGATGCGGGTTTTTCATCACATCTACCACTTTGATAAAACACACGAACATGGGTATAGTACTGTTAAACCTAAAAACATTATCAACTTAGACAACTGTGTTTCCACTTCCTGTACCAGTACAACACTTCATTACATGTCTATGGGTGTATTTGACGTGTCAGCCTTCACAATGTAATCAACTTTCTGGTATGATAGATTGCACTATGTTACTGCTGGATTTAATATGAATATCACAGCACATCATGGTAAATACTATGTGTGTGTGTGTGTGTGCGTGCGTGCGTGCGTGTGTGCGTGCGTGTGTTTCCTATTGACATGAATATTATCAGAATATTATCGGTATTAATTGTCACTTGACCATAATTAGTAACAACAACCACAAACATGTTTCATTCTGATTACGCTTAGCTAAGTGACACATTTTAAACATAAACATGGCAAGTAGTAGACAGGTCACACTTCAGTTATACAGGTTAATTTATCAGGACCATGATATTTCAAAATATTGAAAAAAAAACAACAAATATATGACACAGAACAAACTAATTCGTTTATAAATACCTTACTACTTGATTTTGGAGGAAGGAAGAAGACAGGCGTGCGACTGGCGGAATCATGACACAACTGTGTGTGTTAGTTACAAAAGGGGAATGCCAGACTTCGATCACAAGTTCAGAATACTTTCGGTTTCAAATTGTAATATTGAACGAAATTCTACGTCTTACCTGTGTCACTAAGGCAGCATCTTCTATGACATGAAACGGGCAGGATGTCAGATTACCAATTCGGTTCCTTCTGATATAATGATATCGGAACGAACGATTACTCTCCAACATGGAACAATTCGTACATGTCCTAAATCGTGTCACACGTTCAACATGGGGACTTCCCTATTCCAACACGAGGCTAAGAGTAGCCTGCCCTTGGCTAAACCAAAACTGTACCGGATGTGAGAAAGTGAATTAACTTTAGAATGAACCGACTGGGAATTTCACTGGAATTAAATAGCATCTGAGTCATGTTGGACATGGCAGGGTTGTGTTTGTTTACAACTCTGGAATAAGGCACCAGCTGACTTAATCTGAAACGAAAAAGAGGATGGGAGGTTTGTAAGGAAATAGATTTAAATTCATAGTTTTCATGTAATGAACTTATTGTCCCATACCATAAACAATATATTGCTCATAAGATATATATTTGAGATTAACACTAAAAATGCCCCTGGGCGATAGGCAAATCAACCAGTGGGTATAGTTCTGATATCTGACGAGCTAAAGCGAGTGGCCAGTCTTTTATTTTCATGTTGCTTTTAAATACTTTTTGAAAACTCATTTGATCGAAATATTTCCCGTCATAAACTGAGTATATTTCACTGCTGTGTGTACAGAGATAAGATAAGATAAGATATATTTAATGGCAAAGCATTCCACGAAGAAACAGTAGCAATATTCTATAAGCTACAAATATAAACATACGCTGACCTCTACGCCACCCACAGCATAAGGACCTTATTAAGGTTCCCAGTTGAGTTTAACCGAAAAATATAAACTTCAATCACGTTAAAAGATGACTGTGATTAATTTAATATTTTGGATGCCGATGTATTTTTCTGACTCACCTTTTCCTAAGATTTGAAAAGTGGAGTTACACGAGAATTCCGTTCGCGCGACACTACCTACGGCTATAAAATTACACAGAAATGCAGAATGGTAAATTTCCTATCTGATGGTGTAAACTCAAGTGCAAATACGCTTTGAAACATACACCCCTAAGTGATGTGTTAAATTGTGTTATGCGTCAAGAAAAACCAGTATATTTCTCGGCACTGTGCGGCGATTTGTTTTATTTGGCATCTTTACGGAAAGTGTTGTGTGCACATATATGTGATCACAATTGAGTTTAAAAGAAAACTACAACTCCAATCGCATTAAGAGATGACACGGATTAATTTAATATTTTAATCTTTTGATGTTAGCACGTATATAAAGACATCACACCGCATTAGGACGTATAATTTGCGAAATGTTGCTAGAGACACCGGTGAGATAATGCCCTGTGACGTCGACCTAGTCTGTCTTACAGTCCCTTAAAACCGTATTATTTATTCCGCCCAGCGCATACTGTAATGCAAAAAGCCGTAAATATATATAATAACTTAAGCAAGGCTAGATATTCCCCAGATTTCCCATCTCATTGGATCACTTTTTCAATTTAATTCGAGTTATTTGCGTCTATCAAACCAAAGACGTATGTATATACACGTATACACGTATTGTTTATACGTCTTTGATCAAACGTGTATTTTCATACTACGTCTTAGTGTGATATCAGCCAAGCAAAAGGGTTGCTGGGATCCTCGGGTGAGCATAAGCTTAAAACCTAAAGAATAGGGGGCGAGTGCTCAAGATCCGTATTATTAAACTAGGTCATAATTTACCTGATATTTGCTATGTGTGAAATTACCTTTCCCGGCCAATGAGCCCCCCCCCTCTCAAGAGTGTGACAACAACCACCACCACCCACCCCTTTCTCAAAAGCTGAATCCGCCCCTGCCCATGCTTGTAAGAGGCGACCAACGGGATCGGGTGGTCAGGCCTTTGGTGTCCTTTGAATCTTTATTTTCTTTGTAGTGGAGGCCATAGGCCCAGGCTACACTTCAGGATTTCAGAGCGGTACATATGAGCATATATAGTTTAGAAGACTATAAGTTAATTTACAAAGTATACAAAAGGAAGTATGATATTATTGGCAAAGAAGTGAATCTCTAAGTTTCATTGCATTGTGTATATAAATAGCTAGGTTTCTTACAGTATATGGATTGCCAGTTGACATGAGCATATTGAACTTATGAATAGTTGGATTCGAATAAAAGTTATGTGGTAAATACAAACATCTCAGATTTTGATAACATTTACATACCAAAATAAAATGGAATTCATTTTCAATAAAGTTATCTTTACATACAAAACATAATCTATTTGATCTGGGTTGATTAATATAGCGACCGGTTTCAATTTGGAGGCGGTGTGAAGAACATCTGAATTTAGCAAGGGCCGATCGGAATTTTGAAATTGATAAGTCTTTTATGTAAAATTCAACATTAAATGAGATTTTAAAACAAGAATAAAGTGAAAATTTAGGACTATTTAAAAGCGATGTGTGCCATTCTTGTTCATAACTTGCTCTTAAACTAAAAACAAATTCTGATATGAATTTATCGACATTACATAAATTTTGCTGCTGTTCCCACATAAAGCCAAATCCAAAAGAGTAAAGAATATTCTTAATTTTTGATGCCCAGTTTGTTTTACCATTTACAGAGTATAAAACTAACATGTTATAACATTTCTTTACAAATCTGGAATCGGGCATTTTGCATATTTTACACCAATATTTAACAACTTTTTTATATATACATACATACATTGGATAACGGCCACATTCTCCCCTAACTACATGGTTCGAAGTCGACCGTTTGACATTTAAAAAACGTTTACAACAAAACATATGTACAACTTCGACTTCTTTAAAGTTATCAACTCCCCCATATTTCAGCTCCATATAAAAGAATCGGACTAATTTTTGTATCAAATATCTTAAAAAATAAATCATAAGGAAGTGGATTAAACGTATAAAGAGATTTTAGAATTCCGTATGCCATTTCTCGTGGTCAGGCGCATGTCATCGTATCCCACTTGCGTAGTTCGATGCCCATGATGTTGATCACTGGGTTGTCTGGTCCAGACTCGATGATTTACAGACCGCCGCCATATAGCTGGAATATTGCTGAGTGCGGCGTTAAGCAACAAACCAACCAACCAACCAGTTTCTGCCATATGTGTATTTCATTAAGGCAGTAACGGTGATGCATACATGCGTGATATACAGAATGACCTGCTCGAAACCCGGAAGTACGTCAAGTGACTGTCAACATGCCTTTGCTGTATTACAGTCACTTATTTGTACAACCCTGATGTCGTCGTTGTCTACTCCTTCGCTGCATGGGAGTCGGCTGAAATGTCTGGCGAAAACGGCTGAGAAAGGTCAAACCAAAATATAAGAACGATGTAAACGATTAAAGTACATGTAGTAGCATTTATGGTTTATTCATTATTTTTGGCACCATACTTTACAAGACGCTAATAGCGTTGGCATCTGTTGATTCTATTTTGTCTCTATATTTCCACCACATTTCAGCACTATATTCAGCATTCATCACACCATCCGTCAGATATTTTTGAAGGGCATTTAGAAGTTGAGGTGAAGAAGAACGTCTTTTATTCTGTGCAAGGCGATGTTTCGACGGCGACTTGCTTGACAACGACATCACAATCTATGTCGAAACATCGCGATGTCGTTGTCAAGCAAGTCGCCTTCCACAGAATAAAAGAAAATGTATATCCAATATCAATAAAAATGTCATCATTCTTCACCATCCGTCAGGTTGATTGCTCCTGTGTGTATTCTCTTATACAGCACGTCTTAGCGGTTGACCATGCATCAACAGTTTTAGTTTGACATTAAGTTAAACTGAATAAAACTTCAAAGTTCAAGATACATGTATGTTAATTTTCACACTTAGTGGATTTGGGAAAGAAAGTGCTGACCATATGCTGGCCTGCCATTTTACTCGTGGACGTCCATATGTTTGTTACATGGAACATACTATAAAGTGAAGATGACTCATATTTCAAGTCCACCAAGGAACCACCAAGAAACTATGCAAGGTAGAAATATTGTAACAGTATTGCACTCCGCCCTCTAGTTTTGATATGGTTTGGAATCAACACGTTTCCCAAAATGAGGATGTAAAGAGAGACTTCCCACTGTGAGATATTTATTTCGTTCACGTTGACACCATTTAAAGGTCTTAAATACTTACATTAAAAATACAAACGAAATACGGAAATAGACGTGAGTATGGTATATGGAAACACGAGTAGTGTGGACATCAGGGCTGGTGTAACGGTTTTGATGTACTTGAAGCACACGCAGAGATGTATTGTTTCACGAACCCCTGGGGTCATCTCTGATTCTTAGTCATCCGTTTATATGATTTCCACTACAAGTTTGTTCTATATACCTATGCTCATAATTATTGTTCCCGCATCCCACTAAGATAAATGTGTGTTAGTATAGGGTTTACCGTAATTATTAGCTTGGGTTTATTTACATAAGGACATATTGGTTAACTGTTCTCAGCACAAAGTAGTAATACTTCCCAATATTAGTACACCTTTACCTGTTTCTATGATTGATAATATTGCCATATGAGCAACTAAAATATAAAATAACGTGTTATCATAACGTTGTGAAAACTAAATACATTACTTACAAGTCATTTCAACTGAAGCTTTAACACACGGTGTAGTTAATACTTACAGCTGCATAGATAAAAAAAACCCTGCTATACAAAGTAATATCACCTTTATTATGAAGACATAAACCTACATTTTTCCATACACGTTCTGCATGATTTATGTTACATACGAAGAGTTGATCTTGATGAAGGCTAGATGGACACTTGTTGATGAAGGCAAGTTCTAGTGTGTGTAATTCAGCGCCACATTATATTGTGCTGAAGCGCACGGCTTCATCTTCATTTAGAAAGTATTCACAAAGGGGGCGGTTGGAGAGCCTAGTGGTTAAAGCGTTCGCTCATCACACCGAAGTACCAGGTTCGATTCCCCACATGGGTACAATGTGTGAAGCCCATTTCTGGTGTACCCCGCTGTAATATTGCTGGAATATTGTTAAAAGAGGCGTAAAACCACAATAAGCGCAACATCGTCACGAAGCACTCGCAAGTCATGGTATCATAAAGTTACCGTATAACAGTAACCACTGAATGGGCGGTAGTGTCACAAACTATCAGCTATCATTCTTGTTAATCCACGGTAGTGCCATTTAGTTTTATTTGCCTTCTTTGTTCTGCCTCCTCCAAGTCTCTGCGGAACCTAATGTCCACTGACTTTTTCCCTGTACAGCCGTGATGTTTGATACCACAAACAGCTCTAAGTATAGGTTTATCTCTTAGATAGCTTGCTGTGTCTTTGTTGTCAGTGAAAACTGGAATAACAAAAGGTCTACCGTCTATACGAGACCCATATTTCAAGGACTCAGTCAGTCCAACTTCATATCTCCATCTCTCATAGACGTTTTTCATAAACGGTTCCGATATAAACAAAAACATTAAGACACATTTTTGGAAACACTGATCGAATGATGCTACTTCTGTTTCTCCGTCACTTTGTACGTCATCCAGTAGTGCCACATTCGCGTGTACACCGTTACCAAGAACTATACTGTTTAAATCCGTTTGTAGAGTTAAGACTTTGTCTTTGTCAGCCTCATCGTATATTATCACAGCGTGGTAGACCCTGAGGTGTGCTTCCCTCGTCTGCACGGGGCTGTTGGGGGATGATTGCTTACCTGAAACAAAAAATACACGAATAATGTAATTGACATTCCTGGTATGGAAATGCATCCAGAAACAAGATCCTTCTTGGAATCGTAAATATGCATGCTTACCTCCTGTCGGCACAGAGTGCTTACATACTAGTTCAACTTTTAAAATTAACATAAATACTGAAGACCTGCAACTGTATGCACAGAGAACATTATACGATATCGTCAAAGGCACAGATCGCTTATCATGAAACAGAGTTTTCATCACTCGCTTCTCGACATAATTTTCATGAGCTGATCGTATAATATATAAAATGTTTCTCAACTAAACGCATTCTTCCCATCCCAAAATTGCTGCTGACATTAAACACATTATTAATCTGGCAAAAAACAACGCACATGCAAGGAAAATATGAAATATTTATTATATTCTTAGGGTGAAATACTGTAAATATTGGTGAATATAGTAGAATAACATGATATTTCACTGAGTAGAATATCACTTTTGCCTGAAACTACTTTCTGATTAAAGAGTTACCTCCCTTGCGACAGAGATGATATTTTATCATAAATATACTACCCGTCAAATGTTTAGACTCACTGGTGTAAATTTAGCCACTTACTGCTGTCAACTGTTTTAAACTAGATTTTGCAAAATATTCCATATTTCACTGAGTAGAATATCACTTTTGCCTGAAACTACTTTCTGATTAAAGAATTACCTCCCTTGCGACAGAGATGATATTTTATCATTAATATACTACCCATCAAATGTAAATTTAGCCACTTACTGCTGTCAACTGTTTTAAACTGGATTTGCAGAATATTCCATATTGTTTAAAGGTACTGTTTTCACATGAACTGATGTATTGTAAAACAAATTCGTAACGTTGAAAAGATTATTGTCATGAGTTCAATAAATGATGAAACTGAAAAATTGGCGAATTCTTAACAAAACTTTACACCAAAACGCAGCTGTTCACATTGCATGATATTTGCACATGCTTTTCAGCAATTTGATGCATGACCCTCATGCAGTTCATCTGCATAAGGTTTGCAGTTGGTTCCCCCAAGTTAGTGGAGAAATCCATATTCGATGTAACCATTTTTGTAGTGAGTGTTTTAAGTGAGTCCAAACTTTTGATGTGTAGTATATAATATAAAATAGAATAAATAGAATATTTTGTTAACGTTGTCAAATAACATGTATATTTCATCTCGTGGTCTCGCTGCGCCACTCGTGAACATATCAACTTTGTCAGACCACTCGATGAAATATACATGTTATTTGACAACATTAACAAAATATCATCTATGTATTATTCATCGTGTCCTATGTGCTACGGTTACGGGATGTGGGATGTGGGATGTAAGAAATCCTGGTATTAAAGTATTCACATGGAAGTAATGCTATCTATCTCCGGGGTCCGCAACAGTCCGCTTATCTTCCCATGCACGCGAGCACCATCCATCCTTAATTTACTATATATACTGTAGGTGTTCCGCGTATAGTGGACTATTTCAGCATCACTGCCGGATTTCCTGCTGTGGTTCACGTTATTACTAGGACACGGAGCCGGCTATCACACACTTCAAAGTCCTACTACTGAAGGGGTTTGGGGACATTCATTGAAATAGTATATATTTCCCTTATGATTCATGACTGCATACAACTATCAACCACAGTCTGTGTTTCTACATAACACATCAAAGTAGCATATTCAGTTGTAATAAAAAGTCATTTTCATGTAGAAAAAACAAACAATATGAAAATATTATCAGGCATGTACACCATGGTTAAATGGATGTTGAATGTGGATTTACCATAAACAAGTGATAGCCTTAACAGGGACGGATATCCCTGGAGATGAGGAAATGGTGTGTCTGTGTCTGTGTGTGCGAGCGTGCGTGCGCACCTCTGCATTCCTCTCTGTATCCGCCCATGCTTAAAGTATTGCGAATAAAATACATTGTGCATTATATGGTGTTGCTGTTCTTTTTGCGAACGCGTCAGCTACCGACAAAACTTGTCATCGAGGATATCAAGCCCTGATTTCCTCATGAGTACAGTGAATGGCCATCATTTCCGGTGTTCCCAATCTTGATGTGACTTATAGCCTTGAGTGACTCATGATTTTGAACGGCATTCAACAATATCCCAGCAACATAGCGACAGGGAACGCCTTACCTACCGCCCCATAGTGGCCTAAGTGATTGAAGAGAGTTAATGTACACACTCCCGCATAACCTCCATTATAACAAGTGGAAGAATAAGTGTCGGAGCTTTCTTAAACCATATAACATATGTTATATTTGGGCATTGTGTATTTCATGTTACAACTAACCTATATAATATCCACCATTAGTTAACAGACCCATATCACAACATTATGCATTGCTTTGTTTGAGGATGTGTATGAGTGTGTATAAACATCATGTTGTATGGTTCAGTAGCACTATATTTTTTATATATATCAGAGTTGTAAGTAATACCCTCCATACTCCAAAACAATACCCAGTGTAGACATCTCATCTCATTAACAACTGATTTAGCCGAAATGCTAACCATCATATTTAGCTGAATGGCTACAGAGGAAGAAGAAGTGAATAAAACATTTTGTTATCTCATCACGACTCTTAGTCGATTGAGTACAAGTAAGGAAAAATAAATTAACTTGCCCAGTGCTGGCCTAGTTGGGCCAAGTTTGTCTTCCAATAGATTATGTATTTGGTGCAATAGTCCTCGAAATGCAAACATATTTTAAATAGTTAGTTATTCGAGTGCATATTATGATAATAAACAAATGAATAACAAGCAGTTTTACATGAACACGTAAAAAATACTTCTGTGAATTACCGCCTTCTAAACAGAAAGGAGGCAGTTCCCTTATTACGCCATATTACAGTCACTTAACCGCGACACCTATCGACCATAGCTTATTTAAGGGGAGATAAGAACTGCAAAAGCGTAGGTGAGAACTTGTGATACCGACACTATGAAATTTCGGGATCGAAGGCACTAACAGTCACACAACGAATTGACAATTGTTTTATAACAAAAAACATTATCCATAACACTGGACTGAAGAAACGTTCTTCTGATAAACAGAAAATCTCATTAGAATGTCGTTAAACATTATTTTCCGTACCCATTTGGATTGTTTGAATTTGAATAAATGGTCCACTGGCATAATAGTTCCTATACATAAGAACGGAGACGTAAACAATCCTGAAAATTATAGGGGCATAACGTTATTAAGCATATTTAGCAAAATATTTACATCTACCATAAATAAGAGGTTAGTTAAATGGGCAGATACTCTAGACAAGATAACAGAATCACAAACTGGCTTTAGGAAGGGATACGCTACTATTGATAACATATTTGTTTTACATTCTATTATTCAGAAATATCTTAATCAAAAGGGACAAAAATTCTATGTCTTATTTGTAGATTTTTCCAAGGCGTTCGATTCAATAAACAGGAACAAACTATGGAATCTCTTAGACAAGCATGGTGCCAGTCGCAAAATGGGAAAATTACTGCGGAGCATATATGCAAATGTGAAAATTTGTGTAAGGAGTAATAATGAATTATCAGATACATTTCTGAGCCAATTAGGAGTCAGACAAGGCTGTATATTAAGCCCTCACACAACGAATTGACAATTGTTTTATAACAAAAAACATTATCCATAACACTGGACTGAAGAAACGTTCTTCTGATAAACAGAAAATCTCATTAGAATGTCGTTAAACATTATTTTCCGTACCCATTTGGATTGTTTGAATTTGAATAAATGGTCCACTGGCATAATAGTTCCTATACATAAGAACGGAGACGTAAACAATCCTGAAAATTATAGGGGCATAACGTTATTAAGCATATTTAGCAAAATATTTACATCTACCATAAATAAGAGGTTAGTTAAATGGGCAGATACTCTAGACAAGATAACAGAATCACAAGCTGGCTTTAGGAAGGGATACGCTACTATTGATAACATATTTGTTTTACATTCTATTATTCAGAAATATCTTAATCAAAAGGGACAAAAATTCTATGTCTTATTTGTAGATTTTTCCAAGGCGTTCGATTCAATAAACAGGAACAAACTATGGAATCTCTTAGACAAGCATGGTGCCAGTCGCAAAATGGGAAAATTACTGCGGAGCATATATGCAAATGTGAAAATTTGTGCAAGGAGTAATAATGAATTATCAGATACAGTTTATTCTGATAAACAGAAAATCTCATTAGAATGTCGTTAAACATTATTTTCCGAGAGAGAGAGAGAGAGAGAGAGAGAGAGAGAGAGAGAGAGAGAGAGAGACAGAGAGACAGAGAGAGAGAGACAGAGAGAGAATAACGTCGCATTGGCTTTATTTCAGACATATGGAGCAGTAGGTAGTTACAATATGTACATGTAAGAACATCTAACTTTGGTGTCTCAAATACGTCATTATTGTACCGGGTTGTGGAATGAAGGATGGTGTCTCAAATACGTCATTATATGTACTGGTTATGACATGAAGGATGGTGTCTCAAATACGTCATTATTGTACCGGGTTATGGAATGAAGGATGGTGTCTCAAATACGTCATTATTGTACTGGGTTATGGAATGAAGGATGGTGTCTCAAATACGTCATTATTGTACTGGGTTATGGAATGAAGGATGGTGTCTCAAATACGTCATTATTGTACTGGGTTATGGAATGAAGGATGGTGTCTCAAATACGTCATTATTGTACTGGGTTATGGCATGAAGGATGGTGTCTCAAATACGTCATTATTGTACCGGGTTATGGCATGGTGTCTCAAATACGTCATTATTGTACCGGGTTATGGAATGAAGGATGGTGTCTCAAATACGTCATTATTGTACCGGGTTATGGAATGAAGGATGGTGTTTCAAATACGTCATTATTGTACTGGGTTATGGCACGAAGGATGGTGTCTCAAATACGTCATTATTGTACTGGGTTATGGAATGAAGGATGGTGTCTCAAATACGTCATTAT